AGGTAATAAAAATATTACCAACAAAAAAAGGCCTGGCCCAGACGGTTTCACCAGAGAATTCTTCCAAACATTCAGGGAAAAGCTGACACTGATCCTTCTAAAACTATTCCAGAGCATAGAAAAGGATGAAATCCTCCCAAATTCATTTTACGATGCAAGCATAATCCTGATACCAAAAGCAGGTAAAGACACCACTGAAAAGGAAAACAATAGACCAATATCCCTTATGAATATAGATACAAAAATCTTCAATAAAATCCTAGCCAACAGACTTCCACAACATATCAAAAAATAATAAATCAGAGTCAAGTGGAATTCATACCAGGTATGCAAGGATGGTTTAACATCAGAAAAACAATCACTGTAATCCACCACATAGTAAAATAAAGGAAAAGATATACACGATCATATCAATAGATACAGAAAAGGCATTTGATAAAATCTTACACCCACTGCTGATAAAAACTTGCAAAAAAATAAGAATAGAAGGGAAATTCCTCATCATAATAAAGAGCATATATACAAAACCAACAGCTAACATTATTCTCAATGGAGAGAAACTGAAACTATTTCCCTTACAACCACGAACCAGACAAGGATACCTTCTATTACCACTTCTATTCAACACTGTACTTGAAGTCCTAGCCAGGGCAATAAGGCAAGAAACAGAAATTAAAGGCACCTAGATTGGTAAGAAAGAAGTAAAACTTTATTTGCAGATGATTTGATCCTCTATACATAGAAAACCCAAGAGACTCAGCAAGCAAACTACTGGAACTAATTGAAAGATTTAGTATAGTGACATTATACAAGATCTTGCTCTACACCAGCAAAGAAGTCTCTGAAAAGGAAATAAGGAAATCAAAACCATTTGCAATAGCTACCAAAAGGATAAAACATTTGGGAGTAAATCTTACCAATGACACAAAAGACCTAACAAGGAAAACTATAAAACACTACTTCAAGAAACTGTAACAGATGTATATAAACTGAAGAACAAACTATGCTCATGGATAGGGAAATTGAACCTTGTGAAAATGTCAATTCTACCCAAAGGAACCCATACATTCAATGCAATCCTTATCCAGATTCCAGCAACATTCTTTAAGGACGTGAGAAAACCAAGGAAAGAGACCTTGCATAAGCAGAGTACTGCTGAAGAAGAAGAACAAAGTAGGAGATCTCATACTCCCAGATCTCATAACCTACTATACAGCCACAGTAGTCAAAACAGCCTGGTATTGATACAACTATAGACACACAAACCAATGGAACAGAATTAGAACTCACCAATAGATTCATCCACCTATGGTCAGCTGATCATTGATAAAGGGCCAAAATCCATTAAATGGACAAGAGATAGTCTCTTTAGTAAATGTTGCTGGCAAAACTGGATATCCATTTGCAGAAAAATGAAACAAGAATCATACCTCACACCATACACAAAAATTAACTCCAGATGGATCAAAGACTTAAATGTGAAACCTAGAACTATAAAGTTCATCAAAGAAAAAATAAGGCCAAACTTAAGGGCCGTGATTTATGACATAAATAGACTATCAAGCATAACCCAAAATGCCTAAACAGCAGAAGATAAACTAGATGACTGGGACCTTCGAAAAATTGAGTTTCTGCTTGCACCAAAAGACTTCTCCAAAAGAGTAAAAAAAAAAAAAAAAACCTACAGATTCAGAAAAAATATTTGGAAATGACATATCTTACAAGGGCCTTATCTCTAGAATTTATAGAAAACTCCAACACTTCAATCAAAAATATAAACAATCAATTAAAAAATGGATGGAAGACATGAACAGACACTTTACCAAAGAAGATATTCAGGTAGCCAATAAACACATGAAGCAATGTTCATGATCGATAGCCATTAGAGAGAGGCAAATCTAAACAAAGAGATACCATATTACCACAGCGCTAATAGCAAAATTTAAGGCAGAAAATAACACATTGGCAAGGATGTGGAGAGACTGGAACTCTCATACACTGCTGCTGGGACTGTGAAATGATACAACCATTGTGGAAATCAGTGTGGCAATTCCTTAAAAAGTTGGAATTAGATATACCATTTGATCCAGCAATCCCAGTACTAGGTATATGCTCTAAAGAAGTAAAAACCAGGACAAAAATAGATATATGCACACCCATGGTCATCACAGCACTATTCACAATAGCAAAGAGAAGTAAACAGCCTAAGTGCCCATCAATAAAAGAATGGATAACCAAACTATGGTACATACACAAAATGGAATACTATGCAACACTAAAGAATAATGCGGAATCTATTAACCACCAAATAACATGGATGAACTTGGAGAACATGATGCTGAGTGAAACAAGTCAATCACATAAGGACAAATATTGGTGGTGTAGTGCCTAAAGCATTTGACTGCTAATCAGAAGGCTGGTGGTTCAAACCCACCAGCCACTTCTCAGAAGGAAGGCTGGGCAATCTACTTCTGTAGTGATAGTACCTCAGAAACCCAAGGAGGGGTCACTGTGAGTCCAACTCCACAGCAGTGGTTGCAGTGCAATTTTTTATTATAAAAACTCATGGAAAGTTTTACACATGGAGGGAAATTTTCTTTGTTGGTTACCAGGGATGGGAGGGAAGGAAAAAGGAAGGGAAATTGCTAAGTTAGTTAGTTAATAAATAAACATATATATATACACACACACACATACATACATATATCAAAAATTATTAGTGGTTACCAGGGTAGGAAGGAGGGGGAAAGAAGAAGTTTTTGTTTGCAAGGCACTGAGTTTATGCAAACCATGGTGGAATATTTTGGAAAAGGACTGCAATAATGGTGGCACAACATAAAAAATGTCATCAATGTCCCCAAGATATAAATATGGCAGTTGTTATGTTGGTGAATGTGTTGGTGTGTGTATCTCCAACACAATAAAAGTAAAACAAAACCAATGTGATACTACCTCGCCTCCATTAGAATGGCAATGATCAAAAAATCATAAAACCATAGGGGCTGGTGAGGTTGTGGAGAAACCAGAATCCTCATCCATTGACAGTGGGAAGTTAAAACTGTATGGCCACTGTGAAAAACAGTTTGGAAGTTCCTCAAAAAGTTGAACAGAGAATGAGCATATGATCTAGCAATTCTAATCCTAGGCATATATCAGCAGAAGCAAAAGCAAGAACATAAACAGAAACCTGTACATCAGTGTTCACTGCTATACTTTTCACAACAGCAAAAAGTTCGAAACAACTGAAAAGTTTAGCAAAAGATGAATGAATAAACAAAATGTGGCATATACACAATGTAATGTTACTCAGCCATAAAGAAAAATGATGTGCTGATGCAGGCCACAACAAGGATGAACCTTAGAACATCATGCTGAGTGAAATCAGTCAGTCACAAAAGGACAAATATGAAGTAAATATACACACACAAAATAAAAAAAAAAAAAAACCCAAATTCACTGCCATTGAGTTGTTTCCAACTCATAGCAACCCCCATCTGGGTTTCCAAGGCTGTAAATCTTTATGGAAGTAGATCACCCCATCTTCTTTCCACAGAGCAGCTGACAGGTTTGAACTGCAGACTGTCCAGTTAGCAGTCAAGTGCCTTATCACTACACCACCAGAGCTCCTTAGGAAAATATATGTTGTTGTTGTTGTTATGTGCCATCAAGTCAGACCGACTCATAGCGACCCCTCCTAGGGTTTCCGAGCCAGTATCACCATGGAAGTAGATTGCCCAACCTTCTTTCTGAGGAGTGGCTGTTGGGTTTGAACCGCCAGCCTTTTGGTTAGCAGTCAGGTGCCTTAGGCACTACGCTACCAGAGCTCCCAAGTAAATATATAGAAACCAAAAATTCTTAGTGGTTACCAGAGGTGGGAGGAAGGGGAAAAGGATGTTATTGTGGAGGGGCACTGGGTTTCTGCTAATAGTGGTACAAAAAAAAAAAAAAATGTTGGTAAAGAATTAGCAGAATTGCTTCCAAAACTTGAAGAATGTAATCAATGTCACTGAATTATACATGTAGAAATTGCTGAATTGGTATGTTTTATCGTGTATATTTTCACCACAATTAAAAAAAAACTGAATGATCAGAATTCCCAGGTGTATAGTAGAGCTGAAAAGGGGCAAGGTTGTGGTCACTGCTTGGTCACAGCCAGCTACCCAGAGCAACTGAGTAGTTGATCCTACGGGCTTGGGACCATAGCCACAGGGGAGAGCAAGCTCAATTAGCATAACATACTATACAAAACATTGTTCCACCTCCTACTTTGGTGAGTAGCGACTGGCATCTTAAAAGCTAGCAAGCTGCCATCTAGATGCAATGATGGGTCTCTCCTC